CTCTGCACCCCGCACCTGCCCCAGGCCAGACTCTGCACCCCGCACCTCCCCCAGGCCAGGTCCTGCAAGGGCTGGCCAAGCCGACTGGGTAGCTCCAGGCCTGAAAAGGGGCCTGGCACTGAGCTGGGCTTCCCTGACTGTGGCCAGAGAGAGCTTGGAAAAGAAGGGGGGCTTGGCGGGGAGAGGAGAGGAGAGATGGGGCTCCCAGAGGCTCTTGGTGGTTCCCGGCCTGAGCATGGCACAGAGATGGTCAGAAGGGAGCCAGGCAGCATGCGGGTGCTGGGTGCTGGGCGTGAAGCCTGGGAGGAAATTTAAACTTGCTGAGATAGATAGTTGGTAGCTCTCAAAGTTGAGATAGTTGCCGGCTCTTGAAAGTCAGGGTGCTCTCTGAGAAACAGAAAAATTTACCACTTTGGTTTCCATGTTGAACTGGGGAACAGATTTTTTTAAAAGATTTAATTTTTATGTGTACAGAACTGGGGTACAGGCCAGAGGTGCAGGAGCCATGAGAGGATTCACCAGAGACAGAGTGGGGAGCAGAACAGGCGGATCGAGGAAGCACACTGCTGAGGGGAGCAGCGGGCGGGTCAGGAGTGGTCTGCCACGGTCCCCGTCACCTCCAGACTGGGATGGAACTGTCACTGAAGCGGCTGCGGCCAGCTTGCGGTGCACCACCCGGGAGGGCCGAACTGGGGAGCAGTGTTACCTACAAAGAAGTGCATCCACCTCCCTGTGGTAAAAAACACGCCCGACCGACTCCCAGGCCGGGCCTAGGCCCACTGGCGCCTCCTGGGGTGGGAGCAGGGAGTTGGGGAGCACTGTGCCCACGACGTCGTGTCACTGTCTGAGGGCTCTCCTGGCGCTGGGCTGCCTGGGCCGGCAGGGCGGCCTGTCGCTCAGACCCACTGTAAGAAGAGCTCCCCCCGGGCGGATGTCTTGGCTGAGACACAGGACAGGGCCCCGGGCCAGGAGTGCGCCAGGTCCCACATTCCCGAGGCCACTGCCCCGAGCGTGTTCATGGGAGGCCACTTCCTGCCACATGCCAGGCGTCGTGAGGGCATGGGGCACAGCAGACAAGACCCCTGCCCTGCCCGCGAGCCAACCGGCGAGAACGCACTTGAGAGGTTAGAGGCAGAGACTGCCCTGGAGACAGGCGGGTTGGGCTGCCATTTTCAACAAGCAGGACAGCAGCCCTCCAGAAAAGGCCTGAAGGAGGCAGGGAGCGAGCCAGGAAGACTGGCGGAAAGAGCCTCCGGGCAGAGGGAACAGCGTGTGAGGCCTGAGGAGCAGAGGCCGCAGCTTAGGCTGCCAGGGCGGGGCTGGAGGCGCCCACGGGGCAACAGGGTGCAGCGTGGGGCCTCGTGGGATGGACGACCGCTTCTCTGAGGGTGTCCGGCAAAGGGCGGGTTTGATCTTAAACAAGCAGTGTCTGTATGGTCAGTGAGAACAGCGAAAGCCTCATCACACAAATGTGCATTGCAGGGACGCCAAGCTCTTGGCCTCAGTGGCTCTTGACCTGGGTGGTTTGACACCTCGAACCTCCCCAGCCTCCCCAGGGGCACTTCCGTGGGCTCCAGACAGGATCACGGCACCTCCAGCCCCCCAGCAGTGGCCACTGGGCCCACTCTCTTGTATTCTTCCCAAGTGTCCATCCTAGACCTTAGAGTCTGATCTTGCTCTTGTGCAAAGCAATCATCTGTGTGTCTCTTAATCTACTGGTTCCCACCCCCAGGCCCCGCACCCCTATCTTTACAACGTGTCTGTGGACGGTTCTGGGGCTTTATGGCGACTGTCTCATTGTCTGCGTGGTGCTTCTGGCTCCTCCTGGCGCAGCTTGGACTGGACCTCTGTCTGGCGTGACCCCCGGGCAGGGCTGGAGGGGGCTGGGCACTTCCAGGGGGAGCTCTCAGGCTGTGGGATGCTACAGCAGCGAGCTCGATGTCCATGAGTGTGGGTCACAGGGCTGCTGGCCTGAGGCTCTCCCTTATCTGCTGGACTATTTCAGTGAAGAGAGACCCCTCCCTCGGCTGCTGTTTTTTTTTGGGGGGCGGGAGGGGCTTACTAGCTCCCTTCACTTTGATAAGTCAAGTGCTCTGCCAGGTAAACACTTGTGAGATCCTGCCCTTCTCTGAAGGCAAGCATTAGCTTTCTTTTATCACCACTTAGTGGTGCTTCCTATCACACGGTCATCAGACTTAAACACTTCTGGGCTGATGGCTGTGTCCAGGTGTTTCCAGGGCCAGTGCTGTAGACACACCGACCTTCCTACCCGGTGTGATTTATACATGTAAGTGCATGCGTGACTATGTATTTACTGATAAAAATCCTTCATACTTTCACACCAACCCCCACCCTAAAGAGAATTTAGAAGATTTCCATCAATCCAGAAAGTTCCTCTGTGTCCCTTTCACATCATTCCTGCCCCCAGAGACAAGCACTTTCTGGTTTCTATGTCTAGGGATTGACTTTGCCCGTCGTCGTCGGGCCTCACGTGCACAGAACTGTGGGGTGTGTCCGCCTTGTGTCCACCTCTCCCATGAGCTCAGTCCCTCCATCCCGTGTTGCTGCTTTCTCCTGTCTCATGCAGAGTTCCACCTTGTGGACACACCACGCTGTGACGCCCATGTTTCTATGGATGGTCACCTGGGTTGTTTCCAGCTTGGGCTTCCCGAGTGAGGTGCTGTGGACATTCTTACACAACAAATCTTGGTGGATATGTTTTCATTTCTCTTGGGTAAAGACCTAGGGATAGAACTACGGGTCATAGGGTTGACATACTTAGCTGTATAAGAAACTTCCAAGCATGCTCCAAAGTTCTTGTATTCGCCATGCGCACAGCAATGTAGGAGAGATGCTGTTAACTCTGAGTCCTTGCCAACGTTTGATGTTGTTGACCTTGTTTATTTCAGCCATTCTAGTGAAAATGGGAGGGTACCTCACTGAGGTTTTATTTTGCACATCCTGATGACTAATGACTATAATGAGTTTATTGGATATGTTTTATCTTCTTTCATGATGATATTTTCTCCTGCCCATCTTTTATTGACCTATATCTGTTGACCTATAGAAATTATTTACATAGTGAAGATACGAGTCCTTCATCATCTATATGGACCCTGAATGTTTTTACCAAGCTGTAACTTACCTGTTTTCTTATGTCTTTAATGAGCAGAAATTTTAGATTTTTATGCAAACCAATTTGACAATATTTTTATGCTTGTGTCTTATCCAAGAGATCTTTGTTAACCCCTATGGCAAAGATTATGTCCTGAATTTTCATTTTTAAAGATTTATTTATTTATGCATCCAGGGCCAGAGGTGCAGGGGGTGAGAGGATTCACCAGAGACAGAGTGGGGAGAAAAGGCAGATGTACTGGAATACACTGGTGAGGGGAGCAGTGGGGAGACAGGAGAGGTCTGCTGCGCCCTGGGGGTCACTCCCTGACTGAGGATTGACCTCGTGCTGCAGTGGCTAGTGACAGCGTCATAGAGCTGAGTACCCCTTGCGCCACCAGCGAGGCCCTCCCAAATTTTCTTATGGGAGATCTATGTTCTAAACTTTACTTTTATTCCATGATGTTTCTCAAATTCATTTTTGTGTATGAGATGGAGTCAGGGCTTATTTTTTCCTTGTGTGAATATTTAGTTGTTCCAGCACCATAGAAAAGAATTTCCTTTACTCACTGAATTCACCGGTATCCTGGCCACAAATGTATGGGTCTACTTCTAGATTCTATGCTTGGTTCTGTTGTACTAATTACTGTAGCTTCATAGTAAGTCTTGAAATCAAATAGTCTAAGAGCTTTGTACTTCTTTTTAAATTTTTTTTTTTGCCCATTTAAGATGTTTAGCAATTCAAAATAAATTATAGCTTCAGCTTGTCTTTTCTTCAACAAAAGAAAAAAAAACTGGGCTTTTGATAAGAATTGTACTAATCCCTAAATCAATGGCCATCATAACAATGTGACATCTTCTGATCCATGAACATGGTATCTTTTTCTATTTATTTCATTTAGCAGTGTCTTGACATTTTCAGTGTAAATTTTATGCATCTTTTCATAGATCTATTCCCATGTGTTTGATGTTTTCTGAAGCTCTTGTAACTGGCATTTTAAATTTCATATTCCAATTTTTCATTGCTTGACTTATAGCCAAACAAGCAGGGTCATTCTGACTACTGTACTAAGAATAAATAATCCAGAGTAGAGGAAAAGCCAGAAGCAAGAAGACCAGTTGGCAGGCTGTGAAAATAATCCAGGGAAGAGAGAATATAGCTTGGGAAAGGGTGGCGGCCATAGTGTGTTTAGAAGAGATCAAGTTGAAGTGAGAGCCAACAGGATTTTCTGATGAACTGGATGTTGACTGCAAAAAGAAAAGGCAAATAATTCCAAAGTCCTATCCTGATAACTAAGAAAGTAAAGTTGCCATTAGCCAAGGTAGAAAAAATTAAGTGTGGAGCACTTGGGCGGAAGGGAAACATCAGCTTTAGATGTGGTGATTTTGAGGCTTTATTTGGAAAGCAGCCAGAGAGCCAATGTGGAATGGTCAGTTGTATGCATGAGACTGGCGTTTGGGGGAGAGGTCTGCTCTAGCTATAGATCTGGGGACTGCCTGTGTGTAGACTGGATATGTTCACTGAGAGTAGATGTGAAGAGAGGAAGGAGAGGTCTAATTCTGAATGCTGAGACTCTCCAACCTTAGGGGGTCAGGAAGGTGAGGCAGAATCAGCAAAGGACAGAGAAATGACAGCTAGGGGTTGTGAGAGAAGCTAGGAGACAAAGTTGGGGGCTGGGGGCTGAGGGAAGAAGGCGTTTCTTTGTCTAGAAATGATGATTGGCAAACTGGGTGAGACCTGAGAACTGGCCATGGGATTTGGCAACGTGGAGCCTTGATGGTTTTAACGAAAACATGCTTGTTACGAGGAGGAGCAATAACTCAACTGGAGAGGGCAAATGGGAGGGTGAGCACAGAGTGTGCTCAAGGTGGTCTTCCCACATACGAGCAGAAGGTCCCTAGGCGCACTGGGGTGACTGTACCCAGAGTTACAGGCATGTTCTAAGCTGCCGGGGGCTGCTCTCAGCACGGAGGTGCCCATAGGACCTGCTGGGGAAGTGTGTGGCTGGGGGAGGAGGGTGGGGAGACCGACTCTGTTGTGACCTTCTGGGGATCCCTCCAACTGCCCTGGGGTTGGCAACTTCCTGGTTTCAGAAAACACCTGTGAGTGCAGATTGTGCTCCGGTTCTCACCAGTAAGAGCTCAAAGTTCACTGCGAGATCAGCCTCTGAATCGATCCACTCCTTCAGGAGCTTGACAGTTCCCAGCAGCCCAGGCAAGGGGCCCGGCTCGGGCTGACCATGGCGGGGCTCGGACATGTCCTCACTCCGTTGGGGATCACAGCCAAGCACCGGGGAGTGAGGACTGGCCCTCTAGCGCTCCCGCTCTAACACACGTTTTACCGCGGGTCCAGTTCATGCGGGACAGGGAGCAGGAGCGGTGGGGATGACGCGGAAGTGGCCTGGCCAGAGGCTGTTCCCGGGGCCAGGAGGAGAGCAGGTCCTCAACCTGCCTGCTGCCAAAGGGCCCCGGGGCTGTGTTTTACGATACTTTACTGGAGCTCTGGCACCCAGCACCCCCCGGGGAGGGTGCTCCCAGGCTCCCTGGGTTCTCAGCTGGCAGGTGGCAGGCACAGGTATCCCAGTCTCGTCACCTTGGAGACGCGGTCCCCACGCCGCTCAGCCTGCCCGGCCTGCGGTAACTAAGGCAGAGCCGGCTCGCCCACCCTCCTGGCGTGAGCGGCTTTAATACTCTAGGCAGCCCTCAGTGTAGTTCAAGTTTGTCTCCGGTACAATTCACCATCTTTATTGTTTCTGTGGTTACACAGTTGCCTGAGTTTTGAGGGTCCCCCAATCCCTGATCTCCCATGACCCACCTGGTGTTTATATTGGATGATTTTGCAGGATGTGAGCATGTTCAGGGACATGTTTGAGCAGAAGTCCTGGACCATGTCTTCAGGGGGAACAGGGCCCAGAGAAGGGCAAGGCTAGCAAGGCGCGGGGGGGCCCTCACTGGGCAGGCAGAAAGGCTCACTTCCTACGTCCAGGGTCCAGCGGGAGAGAGCCCCCCGCCCCCCGCACCAGGCAGAAATGAAGACTCAGGTCTCATTGTCACCTCCTCTGCCCACGCCTCCTGCCACGCACACTGGCAGGCACAGCTTGGGGCTGAGGCCACAGCAGTCTGAGAGGCCACACCTAAGCAACGGCTAAGGTCTCAAAAGCAAACATGGGGTGGAAGTTAAACCCAGAATGCTTAAATTTGCTGGGTTTCCCTGCATACAGCAGCTCAGAACTGCTCCCTGCCCAGGCACAGAGCTCCCCAGGCGCAGCGTGGGGACTCAGGGGGCTGTCCCCGTGGCCACAAGGGCTGCAGAATCAGACTCGTCAGCTTCGTAGCGCTGGGCCTCAGAGCATCTGGTCACGCCTTTCCGCTGCAGATGGGGACACGGGCCCAGAGAGGGACAGCACGTTGTCTAAAGACACGGAGTGAACCAGGGACAGGACACCCCTCCTCTGAGTCTGACCTCCACCGCTGCCCTCAGCTTTCTGGTCACCCCCAGCTAGGCTGTCGGTAGTTCTGAACACTTATGCCAGGCCCAGTGCACAGCGCCAGGACCGTGGAGATGGGTGATGGCCAGAGGCCTGGCGGGAAATTCTGCCCTGTGGCTGGCGCAACCAACTAATGTGTTGGAGCGGGTGTTGCGGGGCGCCGGGGCTGCACGATGAGGCCGCCTGCCCAGACCGGCCTGCCCTCCTCCAGGTGCAGACGTTCCACGGAGACCTGCTGCAGCACATGGAGAAGAACACCAAGCTGGACATGCAGTTCATCAAAGTGAGTGCGCCCGCTCGGCCCGCAGCCTCCGGCCGCTTCTCCCCACCGACAGGCCAGCTGGGTGCCGCCTGGCCCTGGCGACCCCATCCCGCAGCGCATGGGCCTGCAGCCCATTCTGCTCTCTGCCCCCGCCCCACCTAGGTGGTGGCGCTCTGGTGACGGGTCTTCCTCCTCCCCTGCCCCCAGGACAGCCGCCAGCACTACGAGGTGGAGTACCAGCACCGAGTCGCCCACCTGGAGAAGTGCACGTCGGAGCTGTGGCGCTTGGAGCGCAGAAGGGACAAGAACGCACGGGAGATGAAGGTGCGGGGCGGGGGGCGCGGCTGCGGGGTGCCCTCTGAGCCCCCCACCCGGCCAGCACCGGCCAGCTCTGGAGTGTGGCTCACCCCACCCTCGGCGGTTTGCGTAGCTGGAGAGGTCAGCCAGCCCCCGGGGCTGGAGTCCCTGGCCCGTCGGGACCCCCACAGCTCTGCTACTATCCCGCCACCCCCTGAGGCTCCCCGGTCCCCCAGCACCCCCTCTCCTCCATGAGAAAACCCAAGGCGGCCCTCAGCAAAGAGAACACCCGTCAGCACCAGCAAAGAGAGCCCCACCTGCCTCCAGCTCCCTCCCACCCCCTGGCCAGGGCCGCTCCTCCCTCCCAGGCTCAGCACCCCGTCCCTGGCTGCTGCCCCTGGCTCCTTTGATAAATCCTCACCTCTCCTCTGCAGAATGTGCCCCCCGACTGGGAAATGATTAACCAACTCACCCACATTTCATGACGCCACATCCGTGCTGAGTGCCGGGCGGGAGGGCTGCGCAACCCCAGCCTGCCTGGGAGACACTGCCCCGGGGGGTGCGGAGGCCACTCAGGGGCCAGGCGGGGCTGAGCGCCCAGGGAGGGCGTCCAGGAGGCAGCTGGCATTCCTGCGGCTGTGGCGAGGCGCCCACCTGCTGCCTCCAGCCAGAGCCGCCGTCCCCACAGGAGAGCGTGAACCGGCTGCACGCCCAGATGCAGGCCTTCATGTCGGAGAGCCAGCGCGCAGCTGAGCTGGAACAGAAGCGCCGGTATCGCTTCGTGGCCGAGAAGCACATTCTGCTGTCCAGCACCTTCTTGCAGTTTTTCGGCCGGGTGAGCTGGGGCTGCAGCGGGGTGGCGCCCTGCCTCTGCCCTTGCTTCCTGGAGACGTCTGCTCGTCCTCTCCGCTTAGCTCGCTGCGTCGCACTTCTTCAGGCATCCACTTCTTCACGGGTGATCCGTGACTCTCGTCTTCATTCACTAGCTCGCGCATTTGTTTATTTACGCACGAACCATCGATTGTCTCCTCCTCTCAGGCCTATCCTGGCACACACGCACCATCCACCAGCGCCAACTTGTGCATTTATTCACTTCCTGTCTATTCGTTTATCTTCCTTAAACCGTCTGTGCTTCTGGTCTGTCTGGTCAACCAGCCAGATTCTTTCATCTCTCACGTGGATTCCCAGTGGATTTTGCTTTCTGCTGTAGAAAGCCTTGCTGTGTCGTGTTTGTGACCATCACCTCGTCTATAAATGTTTCCTCTTATCGACTAAAGGTCCCTCAGATTAGTCTGAAACGTTCCAACTCCATTTTGTTGGGGATTAATGTTGCTCATCTTACCTTCTCTTCCCTTGCTCGTTTTCTGTTATTAGCATCAGCTCCGTTTGGTTTTGACCAATCCGAGCGCCCGTCTTCCAGTAGAATTTATCCGTCTCCTGTTATCTTTAAATCTATATATCGTCACCCACACACTACTTAGTCCATTGTTCCCTCCCTGCCAGCCCGTGAGAGTAGGCCCTGAGAAGGATGCTCCTGCCCTTCCTAATACTTTATAATGAGTATTTTTGAAAATGTTCACTGCTCCACTCAGCCACTCCACACCCACCACTTGCTTTTACCAAGACACCTCAGGACGTTTAGTCTCGGATTCTCACTGGTCATTTCATTGCAGCCCGGCCCTCTGGTTCCGGGCCTGTTCCTCTGCCCGCCCGCACCCCGTCCTGTAGCACCACCATCATCCTTTTTGTTCTTCTGAAACCCCTAGCAAGGGACTCTACGCCATGACCTCTCTTGCCGTCTCTTTCATTTGTTCTTGGTCTATTTCACCCTTGGCTGGTGAGGTCACTGCTTCTCTTCCCAACAGGGCTGTTCTCTCTGTTCAGGTTCAAGCCTTGCTCTGTCTGGGGCAGCAGGTCTGTGACACGGCAGTGTTCTTAGCAAGTCCTCGTCAAGTTTGCCACCCCCTTCTCTCAGCTGCCTGGATGGTCCAGTCGGTTCTGCTCCCACCCCACTACTGTCTTTTTTTCCACATTCTTATTTATTTTTCCAACCACTGTGCCCTGACTGCAAATTCTAGCAGGTAAATTCATTTCTCTGAGCTTCCTTTTCTTCTTCGGAAGAGGAGGGAGCCAATTCCCACCTCCCAAGGTTGATGAACAAGGGAGGATCTGAGGGACCCCAGTGGGATTCGGTTCACACACACACCCCCTCCCCCTAAGATGAAAACAAAAGCCACCGCCCCGCGCTGGAGGCCTGTCCACTAGTGGTCTCCACCCCCGACGCTGGCAGACCCCTGCTTCCTGCCGAGGGTCCTTACCCTTACCGGGCCCCTCCTCAGGGCCTCGCTGGACAGGGCTGGACCCAGAGACTGATCTCGGTGCTGTGCCCCCACCCTGCCCCCGGCTCCCACACTGATCCTCCCGAGGACCTTTCTTTCAGCTGCTTTATTGAGACATAGTTAGCACAGCACGCCATCCACATGTGAGAGAAATTAGCTCTTTCTTGGGGATGAACTGCAAATATTTTCCTTTGTTCATCACGCACCATTGAATTTGCTTTGAGTAGGTTTTGCCATGTTTAAAAAAATGCATCCTTATTTCATCAAATTTATCAGTCTTTTGTAGGTTTTTAAACCATGTAGAATGTCCTTTCTGCTACACAGTTGTTTTTAAAACTCTCCATGGTCTCCTCTACGTTTTTCAAACTCTGCAGTGTTCTTCCCCAAACACTAACTGAACCACCTGGGGCAAGGCTGAGGGCGGACAGTGAACTTAAGTTCTGTCCAGGCCCGAGCATCAGGGCAGGGGCTCCCCATTAAATGTTCTCATTGGACAAAGCCCCCATTAATATACTGTGTGTAGCCCCTCGTGGGCCCCTTCGCTTACTGTCGCTGAAAACAGTGCACAGGCTTTTGACCTTTATCCTGGCGCTATTTCGCTAATTAATTTTGCAAGGAAACATAGAGTGTGTCCACCTAGTGACCAGCTGACTACTTGCTACTGTGACATGGAGCCCTGAGCCTTTCTGTTTTGCTGCCTAAGATCGCTGGGGCTTGCGGCAGGAGGAAATCACGGAAAGGCACCCTCGCAGGAAGCTTCCACACACAGGCCAGCACAGACCACACCAGCCCCACTGATTACTGCATGCGAGACCCTGAGTTTGCCATTAACTGCTCTGCCCCTCAGATAATACATTGCACCTACCTCCCTGAGTTAATGCACTTATCAATAGACAATGCAGCTATCATTATCTTAACGCAGATAATATAAATGTTCGAGGAAAGGAAAGACGTGATGTTTGAGGAGAAAGTGGAGAGAACCGTCTAACTGGAGAGCACAGTGTTTTTATTGTACCTGGGAAATCATGTATAGAGCTGTGGTAACAGACCAGTGGGTGCCAGGCGGTATCAGAGCTCCCGTGAGGAGGGCATGCCGTGGGTGCTGTGCCAGGCCACTTGGGAAGTGCCGGGGGCTGGGCGTGAAGCAGAGAGCCAGGGGAAGTGCCCCAGAGCCTTTATGGTTTTCACTGGGAGGTCAAAGCCTGATAAGCGAGCTGAGGGTCTAGGGTTGAGGAGTTTGAAAATTTCAGTGCACTCTGGACTGTAGAACTACTGGTCTCCAGGTGTCTGGTAGCTGGCCTAGGGCAACTTAGGACAGGAATTTAAAAAAAAAAAAAGTGATTAATCCACACAGCTGAGTAACATCTAAAGCTCTTGCCGCCCCAAAATGGTGGCTTCCTGCCCTTGCAAGTATTCAAGCAGCATTAGATGCCCATGTGTGGTGGACGCCAGAAAGATGATTCTTATGTAGGCAACAGGGATGGGCTAGAAAACTCTAAACTACTCTAACTGGCTGAAGCCGAAGAAGTATTTACTATTTGGGAAGTTGGAAGGTTTCAGGTAGAGCTGGATCCAGGAGCACACAGGATGTCTCCAGGGATTTGCCACACCCTGTTACTTAGCTTTAGCACCTTATGTTGGCTTCATTCTACTATTACTTAGCAAACCCCCTGAAGTGAAAGGATGTGTTTATTTCCCGTTTAGGTCAGGGTAGGTACTCAGATTGGTTCTTCAGTACCAGTTTTTGAGTAGTGGCATCCTGGAGTCCATCACTAAAGCCAGGAGGATGGGACAACTTGAACTTCCCCCTTCCTCTTACAGCAGGCCAGCGGACAGCCGGCCGAAGCACATGGACTGAGAGAAGGCAGGGCAGGTCCTCAGGAAAACTGAGGCGCTTTTGAGCAAAGAGGAGGGACGGGTGGGGGACGCCCCGAGGTGACACCATGGCATCTTTTGCTTCCTTCTGGCTAGAAAAAGCGGTCATCCTCACCTTGCAGGGTCGGAGTTCCCAGGTCTAGGCTGCCACCTGTGAGCTGGGGGCGCTCAGACCTGACAGACCCCGTGTCCCCACCAGGCCCGGGGGATGCTCCAGAACCGCGCGGTGCTGTGGAAGGAGCAGACAGAGGCCAGCCGCACCCACGCCCCGGGCCTGCTGGGCTCCACGCTGGGGCCGCCCTACCCCTCGGGCCGCCTGACGCCCACCCGCCTGGACATGGTGAGGCCCTGGGCACTGCTGCCGCCATTCGTGCCCCCGCCGCCCTTCCCGCCCCCGCCGCCCCCGGCATTCTCCGCGGGACCCTGGGACCCGAGGGCCTCGGCCTGGGGCCTCCTGCCCCCCAGGGTGCCCTTCTACGCTGCGCCCCTCCGCCGCTCCTTCCGCCCTGGTGCAGCCTCGGCGCCCCCGTGGTGGTTCGGCCGGCGGCCGGAGAACCCCTACGCAGAAGTCTGGGACTGGGGGTGGGGGCTGGACTAGGGCGCCGCGTCCCCGCCCCTCCCCTCCCCACCCTCCCCTGCCCGTCTCCCCTCGCAGCCCCAGCCTCTGGGAGACTTCGGCTCCCCTCGCAGCCGGCACGGCTCCGGCTCCTACCGCCCCGAGCCCAGCGAGGCGAGGTCCGCGTCGCAGCTGGAGCCAGATCGCCGGTCCCTGCCCCGGACGCCGTCGACCGGTGAGCGCCCCCGGCCGGGGCGTCTCGGGAGGACGAGGGGGGGGGGGTTGCGGGCGGGAACCCCGGGCGGGGACCGGGGCGGGAAGAGGCTCCGGGGTGGCCGGCGGCGGGAGGGCTGGCGGGCAGGCGGCCCGAGAGCGCCCCCCGACGTGGGCGTGGTGCCCCGCAGCCTCGCTCTACGCCCGCAGCGCGCCGCGCTCCCGCTCCAACTCCGTCGGTGAGCGCCTGGGCAGCGGCGGCGGCGGGGGGCCCCGGAGAGTCCGCGCCCTGGTCTCCCACTCCGAGGGCGCCAACCACACGCTGCTGCGCTTCTCGGCCGGAGACGTGGTGGAAGTGCTGGTGCACCAGGCCCAGAACGGCTGGCTCTATGGCAAGCTGGAGGGCACGTCCACGTGAGTGCGCGCCGGGGCGCGGGGTGGGGCGCGGAAGACCGAGGCCCGCGCGCACGGGACCCCCTCCCGCCCCTGGGGCTCCGACGACGCTCCCCTCCTCCTCCGCCCCGCCTGTCTCGGTTTCCTCACCGCTCCGTGGCGGCTGGAAGAGCCTCCTCGCCAGGTTCTGGTGGAAGCCAGTAACCAGTCAGCCGGGCTCCAGGCGGAGCCGCGAGACTGGGCGCCCGGGCCGGGCACGCGGCGGGGCGGGGACCCTGAAGTCGGGGCGCGCGCTCTTTGCAGGCCTGCGTAGCGGACATCCTTTAAGAGCCTAAACTGGGTGGAAGGGGAGCTGGGAAAGTACCCTGGGGTCACTGTAAGCCTGGGGGTGAGCGCGCAAAAAGCAGTCTCTGCTCGAGGGGCAGAGAGCGCTTGCTGGAGTCAGGCAGCGCCCCCTGCAGGGCGCCTCGGGCTGGAGCCTGCGTCTGCGGGAGGTTCTGGGGTGGGGAGAAGGCACGGAGGACGCGACTGGGAGTGGGGGGGGACAGCGAGTCCGCAGGCGCGTGGGAGGGCGGCGGAGGGGCCGTGGGTGGCGCAGGGTAGACGGCCGTGGCGCGTGAACGGTGCGGCTACAAGTAGGCGTGTGTGGGTGGGCGGCGGGCGAGTGTGGGTCTGCGAGGGGTGGGGGAGGGGACAGGATGCAGGTGGCCAGGCACCTGCCGGCAGAAGCCGGTGGGGGCAGCAGGTGCCACGCCCGCACCTGGTGCGTGGTGAACTCCTGGGGCCCTGATCAGAAACCGCTTCTCCCGGGGGCTCTGCTTCTCGCCTCCCCTGTTGGTTCTGGGGGCAGAGGTTTGCGGGCTGTCTGAGAAGTCAGGTAGAGCGCAACGATCTTATTCTGTCAGTGTGACTGGGCATAGCCGTGTCATTGATGGGAAGATGCGAACTGGGGCTCGGGCTCCTAGGAGGCGTGTTCACCCCACTGGGACCTTTTCTGTAGATCTGGAAGCTTGAAGCTTTTCACTGGTCAGGAATGTCTTCTTGAATGACTCCCCAACCCATCTCAGCCTTTGTCCCACTTCTTTCCTCTGATCACAGTTTGAAAACCCCTGTGTGGGGTCAAGGTCAAGCCCAGACCCAGCCGTTGACCCCCTGGGGCTGGACTCTGCCTTCAGCCTCACCTGAGGCTGTTTAACATGCGAGATCTTTCCCAGATGTTCTGCCAGAGTAAGGTGGTTTGTGGGGGCTGCCTGCCTCTCCCCACAGCCCTGGCTGCTCTGAGACGTAGTAGTGAGCCTCTAGGCAGGCAGAGACTGCAAGGGAGGGGTGCAGCGGTCACATGGGGGTACAGGGTTGGCTCCCTGCCAGGCTGGCAGCTTTGGGGGAGGGACCATGTGGGTTTTGTGGGCTCTCCTGTGTAGGTGCTCACTAGTGGGAGAGGGGCTTCACCCCATGTTTTTGGACACACTGCTTCCCCCCTCTGGGGGTGACCCCAGCCCTTGCTGGATGTGAGCCCGGGCAGGTGGCCTTAAACGCCAGAAAAGCCCTTCTCTGCGAGCCAGCTCAGCCACACACACCCTGGTGCCCAGTCACTGCTCTCAGAAAGGGATTTTGAGCCCTGTTTTGGGGCCTTGTGCTTAGGGGACCCCCTGCTTCTGCCCCTCAGGAGTGGCTGGTTTCCTGAGGCCTATGTGACGCCTTTGGAGGAAGTAGCCCTGAGCAACACAACCTCCGTGAACCCAATGAACGAGCTACCTTCCAGGTACCTGGTGGTCAGAGGTGGGTGGGGGGTGGGGAGGCATCTGTGAGTTGCCACCCTGAGACAGCCCAAGGGAGAGGGCAGTCATCTCTGCATGGCAAAGCCATGGTGTCCATCCCTCTGCCTCTGGTCAGTTCTGCCTTCAGGCAAGTAACGCCCTGCCCCCGCTGTGGGAACAAGGCCCTCAGAGGCTCTGGGGCCCAGCAGAGGGCACCAGGGCCACAGGGCCTGGCCCCCCGGCCCTTTCCTTTCTCTGAATTCAGGTCCTACCCACTACGGGGCAGCCACAGCCTCAATGACCTCCTGGACCAGCCGGGCAACTCCACAGTGCCCTCGCCCCCAGACTACCGGGACGGCCAGTCCCGCTCCCGGACCCCGAGCCGGGTCCCAAGCCGCACCCCCAGCCCTGCACCCCCAGCCCTGCCTGGCGGCTGCAGAAACAACCTGAACAACCTGGGGGTGGCCAGCGACGTCAAGGTGGGCCTTCCCGCTGTCCCTCCCCGGGCCCCTCTCGTGGGCAAGGAGACTGAGCAGACAAGGCCCCTGGCTGGCTGGCAGCGCTCTCGCCCCTGGTCTTGGTCGGCCTGTCTGCACGGGGAAGGTGGGTGGGCTTCTGTAAGGGATGGACAGCGGGCAGCTCTTCTCGGACAGGAGCCCCGTGCCCTGGAAGCACAGTGAGTGTGCCCCTCCTCTCTTGGGGGGCTGCCCAAACTAAGGGCCTGGCGCAGAGCCTGGCCCGGGCTGACCAGGGCAGGGCAAAGTGGGTACAGAGGTCACTTGCCCAGTCTTGTCCAGGGGGTGGTGGCCAGCCTGGGACTCTGGCCCAGGGGCTAATCAAATCCGGAAGGCACAAGGCTGTGAGCTTCTGGGCACACTTCAGGGGCCTCTGATGAGGTCCTGCTGTCCAGGAGCAGGCGGGTGGGGGCAGGGCTGTCTTGCCCCTCCCCCACCGGCCGCCCATCCCCCCCACTGCAGAAACTTACGTCCTTGGAGCAGCAGCCCCCAGAGCTCTTCCCTCGGTGAGTCCTGGGGTACGGGCTCAGGCTGGGGGGGGCGCCAGTGGCGGGAAGCAGAGGCCAGCCCGGACCTGCCGCTGGCCGCTGGCCGCTCGGCCCCTCACCCAGCCCTCCCTCCTCAGGGGCACGAATCCCTTTGCCACCGTGAAGCTGCGTCCCACTGTCACCAACGACCGCTCGGCACCCTTCATCCGGTGAGGCCCGTCCTTCGGGCGTCTGAGGCCTCCCACCCCGCCTGGGCCCGAGCCGGCGCCGGAGAAGCAGCAGCAGCAGGTCCACAGAGCCAAAGCGCGAGGCCTGGGCCGGTCCTCCCCAGCACTGCCCCACGCCCTCCCCCCAACCTGAGCGCGGGGCTCAGCCTGGCTCCAGCCTGGCGTCTGGGATCTCCCAATAAAGGCGAACTGGGGAAGAACCCCGGGACTCTCCTGGGGGGCGTCTCCAGCCCCCCCACTGTCCTCCTGTGCTCCGGTAGGAAGGAGCCCCCACCCCGCCTCCCCCACCCCACATATGCCCCCACTGAACTTTTGTAACGGAAATAAAGCAGCAGACACACAGCAGGACTGGCGTGTGATGTGGGGGGCCGGGAGGGGCCCAGCCCAGGAGGCCTGAATGGCCTGGCAGTGCTGGGACCGGCTCCCAGCCCTCCAGGGCCTCCTTGGAAGCCGGTCCCGTGTCTGCCTAAGGCCGCGTCTCCCACGCAGCCTTGTCTGCCTGTGGGCTCCCCAAAGGAGGGAGGGGTGCTGCCGCTGCTCCCCAGACTGTGGCTGGCCTGAAGGCAGCGCCTTCCCACCCCCGCCTCCTTCCCAGCTTGCCCTGGATGAGGTTTGGCCTGGAAAGAGCCAGAGGCCCCTTGGGGCCTGAGGCCTGGGGTGGGGGGCGGGCAGGAGCTGAGGTAACAGGACTCTCCAGGGGTCCCCCCCAGCCTAGCCCCCAGGACAGAGCCCGTCCTCCACCAGGCTCTTCCACTCTCCCGGTGGGCTGGGGCGGGAACCCCACATAGGGCCCCGACCTGGCCCTCCCCTCCCAGGTGAAAGCCCCTTAGAGGGGTTTTGGAGGGAGACACTGAGCCCCACTGAGCCCGGGGAGTGGGACAGCCGCCTGGGGGCTCTGCTTGTGGGGTGCTGGGACAGCCGCCTGAGGGCTCCACTGAGCACGGCCTCAGGACTCACGGGCTGCACAGGTGAGCGCAGGGCCAGGTGGGCCAGGTGCAGGTGATAGACGCAGGAGGGGGTGGGGGAGGAGGAGAGCTCAGGGCCCTCCTGGCGCCAGGTGGGACACCCCAGATGGAAGCGGCTTTGGGAGGGGCACTGCGGCCCCAACCATGGGTGGTTCACCCTGCCTCTGAGCCCCGTTCCACATCGGGTCCGGGGGCGCATGGGCCGCGTGTGAGCCCCCGGCTGAGCTCCGGGCCTGCAGAGCCCTCAGCTTGGGGAGGGCTGGGCTGCCGTGGGTTTGCAGGCAGAGGCCCCCCGGCACCCCTCGAGTCCCTGCTGGCCCAGTGGAGCTGAGGCCCGACCACCTGCAGGGCTCCTGGCGGCCTGGGGCGACCCCCAGGAGGGGAGCTGGTGCTCCCCACCACCCCCTCGGGCCAGCTCCAGCAGGTGAGCCGCTCAGCGGTCAGCTCCCCTCTCTGAGACAAGGCTGAGGTGATGCCTCTGGGGATTTTTCTCCTGCTCCCTGGGGAAATGAGGAGCCCCGGCCCCCCCCAGCCGGGCGCGCCCTATTGTGGAGGTGAGCACACTGCACAATGGGGAAACTGACCCCCAGCACACTGGCTGCCAGCTCTGCCTCTCAGGAGCCCTAGTCTGCCACCTCGGGGTCTTCCCCAAGTCAAGACTCAGGTGGGGAGGGCTTTGGAGCAGGACGGTCGGGGAGGTTCCACCCCCATTCTCTGAGCAAGGCTCTCGAGTGGGCATCTGAGTGGGCTGCCTCGGTTTCCCCTGGGTCTCCAGCGCCCTTCCTGGAGCCCTGTCGTTCCCCGCCTCCAGCAGAGGCAGCTGCAGGGGTCGCTGGCGGCCCCCACCAGGGCGCAGGTCCGGTGGCTGGGGCTGGCGGTGCTGGGCGCCCCGTCTGGGGCACCGCCTTCACCGCCCGCTCCCCGAAAGCCTTGAGCGTCTTCCGCGCACTGCTGTGCCACGTCGCGCGGGCTACAGCGACACAGCCCGGGCTTCCTCCATCCTGCTCGCCAAGGTCTAGGCGACCAGTCAGCGCGCCCCCTCGGCTTAGGGGCCAGGACTGACCCCTGAGCTCCGCGGGAGAACCTGCGGGCACGCGGAGAAGGCAGGAAGCCGCAAGCCCCGCCCAGGTGGAGACTGCCCCGCCCCGCCCCCCCCCAGCCCGCAGGCCCCTCCTTTTCTGCGCACAGCCCTGCAGGGCCCCGGCCGCTTTGCCGCAGGAGGGTGATCGCAGGGAGGCTGCCCTCCCCAGACACCTGACCTCTTGAGGGGGGAGATGCCGGGAGTGGAGGGCCCCGGGGAGGAAGGCAGGCCGACTGGTGTTGCAGGGGTGTTGCAGGCGGCCTCCGTGGGCTCTGGGGGTGCGGGGTGGAGCTGGGGCTTCAGGACCAGGATAGGTTCCTTCCCTTTGTCCCCTGCAGGGTGTCCTCTGTTGTGTTCTAGTCCAGCCAGGTTTAACCTTGGGCAGACCAGGGAGACCTTGTCCCTTCCAGCCATCTTCCAGGACTGGAAGGTGGGGTGCCTGGGAGGGGGGTGCCCGGAATGTGCCCACCGGCAAGGAGAGGCGCTGGCCCAGCCTACCCCCCGCGCTGCCCACAGGCCCTGTTCGCAGCGTCCTCGTGGTCATGCTGGTGGATGGCCTGCTGGCCACGGGCATGGTCCTCACATCCTTGGCCTTTGCCTCCTAGAGCTCCACCTGACGGCTGGGGTGCGCACAGGTGAGGGTGCCCAGGTGGGGTTGGCGACCTGGCGCCAATCCCCAGCTTTCTGAGGGGGGAGTCCCCCGGGTGCCCATGTCCCGGCCCTGAGGTTCCCTGGGCACAGCGCCCCCTCACCCCCAGGCCCTGGCCTGGCCCTCAGCTTCCAGCCGTCGTTCATCCTGCTGGGGTGGGGCTGTGCTTGGAGCTGCCGCGACCTCTGGCCAGTGGGCTGGCAGGCCGGCAGCCCGGGGCTCCTGTCCGCGCTCTGTCGCTGTGCCAGCAGCTGCTGGAGCACTTGGGCTGGCGCGGGGGCTCCTGCTGCGGGGCTGGCGC